GCCAAAAACAAGAAAACAAATAAATAAAGACAACTTAATCCCTGAGCAAATAATGGATATTTGCTGCACTGGTTCCATGGCAGATGTGTTTTTCCTGTTTTATGAGAGAAATCCACAGGATCTGCAGTAGGGTGGGGGGTGTGACGCCTGCTCTTCAGCCTCATCTGGTGAACAACCCAAACCAGGACCAAATACCATTTTTCACTCTTGCTGCCAGATGCCTTAGTTCATTAACACAGAGAACAAAGCTGATACACAGATGCGAACACAGATGCTGGGATACACAGATGAATATTCATGTACAATAATGTACAGAACAGGTATGTATTTACAAGCTGCAATAAAAACAGGCACATGTTTTCTTGTTCAATTGCAGCTACAATTATTATGGATACTAAACTGGAAATCAGTTTGATTTTTTGTACAAGTGTTTAAAGCCCTTGAGGAAAGGAAATCTTTGGAGTCTGCATGGGAATAACATTCTGTTGCTCCTTTGTAAGCATTTTTTGAATGAACAGAACAAACAATTTTGCTCAGCTCAAAGCAGAACCACTATGGCTGTATTTTATAGCATGTTGATGGTGCTGTCTGTGTGACCTTGGCTTCTGGTAGGCTTGAGTGATCATGCAGGATGTCAGAAGCAGTCTGACCCTTCTGTTCCTCTGTGGAGTCATAGTAAGTTTGTGATGCCACAGCTGCTGATGAATGTTTCAGGCCAAGGTTCCTGACAAAGATGGAGCGAGATACAGAGAAGGGATGGGGGAAACCACAGGAAAGACTCACAGGCCACATTAGGTTATGGACAGGAATGACACATTGCTTTGCTTCCTTATGCTTCCAGTGAGCTGATACTAAAGAGTAACTTCACCTAAAATGCAAAGAATTTGCCTCCCATCAGATGTGGATGTAGCATCAGTGATGTCATCCATGAGTCGCAGAGGGGACATTGTGAAGATTTGTGATTATCTCCCTCATTTACTGGAGCCAGTAAATGTTAAGTGTTGTCTCTGCAGGAGGCCTTGTTTCAGACATGCTTTTTCAGCTGCCAGTTGTATGCACATCTGTCAGATTAGATATGTTATTCAGTCCAATGGTGTACACAGGCTGCATAACTCGTACTTTACACACACAGCCATACAAAAGTGCCTGAACGCATCTTGTGTAGAAATAGATGGGTAAAAATAGGTAGGTTGTGTAACTTTGTGAGACCTTTGACAGTGGGGTGGACCATGGGTCAATTGGGTAATTATGCAAATCTTAATGAGATAGTGCATTTTAATCTTGCCAACAAGCCACACTCAAGACTTAAACATTCAGACTTGTGGTAGAAAGACAAATATATTTTTTAGAGAAGGATTCCATTCACTTCAACACAGTCAGAGACTCCTTGAAGCCAGAATCTCATTGTCATTAGTCGTATTTCATATTGAGCCTCTTTTGCTGTAATTTGAGTTTTTAGCATTAATGGTTGTTGCTTAACACTGTCTCCTAGAAATTACATATATTTACAACTATTAACCAATACTAACAATTTGCAACAGCAAATACATTTTGAAAGACATGTTATTGCACCACATTACAATTTCTGTTAAAGTAATGAGGAAATGTTCTTAATTTATGTATTCAGCAAAAGGCAAATATTTTAATACTGAGTGTATCAGTAAAACGTTTACAAAACATGTATTTGTGTTCCACCAAAATATCCAGTCTTGCAATGGGATACCTACTTGTAGAGACTCCAGCATCAGTAACTGATTTATGGGTATGTTTTATGCTCTCACAACACTTAGTTAAGGTTAGGGAAAGGTTTATGTTAGGTTTAGTAAAGAAAAAGTCCACTGTGACTTCAGACACAACTTAATATTTATCCAAAACCACAATCTACTATAACACAAAGTGCCAAATTTAAAAAAAAAATTGCCTCTTGACCATAACCCAGCCAGTGATTACACTGCCACCATATCGTAACTGAGAGAAGAGATTATTAGTAGAGGATTGTAATTTTGAGCAGACAGGGTTGAGCACAAATGTTTGACATCATTAGAAAACTTTAGACTTATTTTTAGAACAAGCTTGAAATCAAACAACTCTACAGCAGTAACTCTGAATGGTTTTCTACTCAGGTATGGATTCCAGCTTTCTATTCACATATGCATGCTAGCTAGCAGTCTTGGCTGAGATGTGCAGAGCTTGTTTGTCCATACAGAACTGCCGCTAAACTGACTAGAACATTGTGTTTTTACATCAATTTCTGTGCCATCATCACAAACCATCCTTAGCATAAGTCACATCTTTGCAATAATCGTGCTAATAAGCAGCCTCTTCAGGCCTAATTACAACGCTTTGGATTGCGGTCATTAGCTTGTGAAAATTTATGCTATTACCAAACAAGTGGCCTAAATACTCTGACTGAGTTGAGTTAGAGTTGTTTCAAACCAGGCTCAGGTGTGTGGTCTGTGGTCGGTACAAGCTAATGTACAGTTGTCCCTGCATCCAAAATTTACAATGAAATAATGATAAGCATGGCCTGATAAGCATGGTGCTATTAGAAAAACTACACATTTTTATAAGTAATCTTTGGTTGTAAAATACATTTTTTTTCCTTTCGAACTTCATTAAGTCCAGATGGTATTTGTAGTGCTTTGCTCTGAATCTTTGCCCTACTCTTCACTCCTTTCACTCATCATCGCTGATCTCCCAGCATTCCTTGTGACAGAACTCCCAGCATTTTCTTCCCCTGGGACTCTCAGGTCAGCGGCAGAAATAGCAGCAGCCTTTCAGTCCCTGGGGATACTGTCAGACTCTCTGACCCTGGCCCTGTTCTTATCACCAACCTACTGCAGGCAGTATTCTCCTGGGGCTCTCACCACTGATTTGAAATCAGTGGATTACACCTGTATTCTGGTGGCTGTCATTAGAAGAAAGACTCATCATCTCAGTATGGGAGAGGACAGAGGGTTACTTGAGAGGGCTTGATTGTGCTCAGTGAGAATGAATGCACAGAATGCAATTAGACAGTTACATAATGGGTTTCCTGGGCTGACCCGGAGTTTGCATGTTCTCCCAGTGCCTGCGTGCGTTCTCTCCGGGTAGTCCGGCTTCCTCCCACAGTCCAAAGACATGCATCTTAAGTTGACTGGCGACTCTAAATTGCCCGTCGGAGTGAGTGTGGGTGTGTGTGGTTGTTTTTCTACATGTCAGCTCTGTGACAGACTGGTGACCTGTCCAGGGTGTACCCTGCCTCTCGCCCAATATCAGCTGGGACTGGCTCCAGCTCCCCCACGACCCTGTTCAGGAGTAAGTGGTATAGATAATGGATGGATGGATGGAATGATTTAGTTCCTGGGTTGAATTTGTACCTGAATTCTCTGCAGAATTGTGAGAGAGATATAAAATCCTGTTCCTAGCAAACTGACATGTCAAGTGAACATTTATGATCTTTGATTAATGCAGCAGTGTGACATCAAGTGTCCGACTCTTAAGTTCCACCCATTTTTTAAACACCCCGCTTTCATCTAGATCAAATGCTGAACCCTAATTACATATATCAGAGGACTAGGTTTATTATAGGTTTTATAACAGCATTAATGGATTTTATTAGGGTTTCCCATGGGGCAATAGAACTGGCCATCAACCCCCAGACATAGGGTTACTACGTCAAAGGGATTTTATTACGTTAGGTATGACCAGCAGCACACTAACAAAGGTTGTTTTCACTTTAAATATTTGTATAGGTGTAACAATTGTTTCTCTCTCTAAATATTAAGCAATTTGCAGATTTTAAGCATTAGTGTCAGGTTTTAGTTTGAAGAAACATTACCACTAATAGTCTTGATAGATGTAGGGCTTAAAACTGAATTAAATCTCTTTTCAGGACTGTTGCAATCAAATAAATAATTCTCTTAAGCATGGGAAAGGTAGTTGTTTCATGCCAACATAGTTTAAGGAAGTTCAGTCTGATAGTTTTGAGAGATGTATGAATTAAAACCAAATTAAATTTAAAATTAAAATAAATAGGGCCATTCTCTTAACTTAGAAGAAGCTAATGTTTCTCCCCCACATATAAGGAAGGTTAACACACAGCTTTAGTAGATGGCAGTTACGAGAGTTACCAGAGACATCCTCGTGGGTTTAGTGGTGGCGGGCAGGTAAAGCTGCCGCCAAGAGAGTATGAGTAACTGGCAGCATCTGTGTATTTTTCTCTACAGGCCACAGTCCACCGCTTGCTCTTTGACAGGAGTGGGATTTTACATCTCTCTGGTGTGGCTTTTTTTGCATTCACATTCAACAAGTACAAATAATCATCTTATTATCACATACTTGAAAAATAGCAAGCATCCTAGATATTTACCTTACCTCTGCCTTGAATACTGCATCCATGTATAATTTAGTAGGTGCTGATAATCTTCATTCAGCACCTTGCTCAGGTTTGATATATGCTCTTCCTTTTATATAACTTTGCCCTGGCTTGCCTGTAAGAGCAGAGGATGTTATGCTGTGCCAGAGGTTTGTTTTGGCCTACTTTCCCTAGGTCAGCATTGTAAATGAATGTCATGTGTTTCCAGTAGGTGTTGGCACTGGCCTGCATCTACTGCTGTTAGTTCCCATTATCTATTGTTCACACCTGTACAGCTAATTTTCTAATGTTTTGTTTTATGAGAAAAAATACTGCCTGACATTGCCTGTCTCACACAGACACACAATATAAAAACACATTTTCAAGGGAGTGTCATTTGAAGCAGTGGCAGAGCACTTATCCGGCAGGGTAGTGGGTCCCAGTGCAGTGGTGCTGCCAGCATTGTGGCAATGAAACAATGAAGTAACAGAGACTTGAATGTGGGAGATTGGGTGTGGGAATTAATCATGCCTGCATATTTCCAGCGCCCACAGTTCTGCCATGTACATGAAGGTCAACAACTACAGTCATGTAGAGGCTTTCTTTTGCACCCTCACATTCAGTACACATAGCTTATGCATATACTGTCATCAAACTAAGCAGGAAAAGGATGCTCAGGCTATGAGGCGTGCGAGGCTGTTAGGCTTTTAAGTGCTGCGAGTCCTTTGGGATTCATCCAGTGAAATGGAATCAGTAGCTCTGTCACGCCAGCCTATACACTGGTGCTGCTCTGACTGAAGCAGCAAAGTCCTTCAGTCAGCTATTCAGGTTGACAGTGAGGCCATCTGGTTACCCTCCCATTATACCCTTTCCACCAAGTGCAGGACCATTCAGATTCTCCTTAAGGAAGATTGAGTCAAATAAGAGACTGAACCCAGCTGTTCTGGCACAGACTTAGTACTGTGAGGATGGCTGTCTGCGTGTGCATGCAAGAGAATCTGTTTATAGCCTAGAGAGTCTCTAATAGTCCATAAAATCTTAGATAAATTCATTTTCCTCCCTTATATAAGACTGAATTAACCTATTCGTTTGACCTCTGTACTTCAGATGGAATTTTTTTCCATTACTTTTAAAGCTGTATGTGAGAACTTGCTTCAAGACAATGTGAAATTGCTGTTGGGCTTGCAGGAGCTAATGCATAATGAGGTAAGAGGAATCCAGCCATGATGCAGCAGTGTGTGTGTGTGTGAGCCTGTATGAGTATGTGAAAAATAGAGTGCGCGGGAGAGAAAACCTGAAGCCTGCCCAGCTTACAGTATATAGGTGTCAGACCTCACAGCTTGAGAACACATGTTGACAGACCTATATACCGACTTTACTGTGTGAACTGCACACAGTACAGTCTAATCATCTCTGGTGATAGATTGCTACTGGAGAAACATTTGAATATGAAAAGAAGTTTTGTTAAACTTAATCCTAAAATTCATTATGATTTTTCATTGATACAATGTTAGTCTGTCTATTAAAGTGGAAAGCGTGTTTGCTATGATTGAGATGCACCATTCTGTTCCACACAGAAATGTTAATTAGGTTTGTCTGGGTAGCATCAATGTGATCGACAATGCCAATATCTACTGTAACTTCATTAGCAAAGAGTAGGCTTTACACTGTATGTTTCAGGTTATGTGGTTATATATGCTTTATATCTTTTTTGTATACCAGCCACTATGAGTAAAACTGTGATTGAGAAACTTGCATAAACCACAATTGTCCAATCATAGCTTATAACTGTGACAGACTTGTCAAGCAGCGTGTTTGCCTGCTCTGGCAGAAGTTGCAATTGCTAGCATGCCCAGCTAACTAGCCTACAGTAGTAACCCAGTCCCACTGTCCAAAGCCAGGTGTGTTTCTCCAGTGTTAGAAAGAAGTTTATGATAAACACAACATTAAGTCTGTGTAGTATTTCCCCACTGTGTAGGAGGCTACAGTAGCATTAGGGATTCTGATCTGTGTTGGATTTGGGATCGTTTACCCTCCAGCAAAAATGGCAAAACTTATGATTTGAGATACAATTAAGTTGACCACACACACTGGTTAGTCCTCATTCTGAAAGCCCTTTCTCATTTAATGTTAAAAGTGAAACATACTGTTTAGAAATACAAATAATGAAGTATCTATCTTTGTCTTGATATGGAACAGTCTATAACACTTGGATTAAGTAACTCTACTCTGCAATACAAGAACAGTTTGTTTCCATGTCTTCTATATGTATTCTAAACTGGTCAGGGGCAAGCACCTTTAGCCTCAGTCTCAGTCAGCCTCATGATATGTAGTCCTCAAATGTATATTTAAGACCCCTTTACATGGTTCTTGTTTTAAAATAAATAAGATGAGCATGAAACATTTCAGTTGAAAGTGACATTTACAACAAACACATGATAATTTTAGTTAATTAGCTAGCTGGTTATGGTGGATAAAATCCAACTGCAGCAGTTGTCATTTCTGCTGACAAAATCAATGGTTGTCACGGAGCCAAAATAAGAAGCATGTTTTTCTTCCACTGTCTGAAAACAGGGATCTACCGTTTTAAAAATAACTATGAATTTTGAGTGGTAAATCATCCACTGTTGTAAACTGCAGATGCAGTGTGTGAAAATGGAAAGGGTGTCTGGTGGAGTAGCTATAGCAACTGAGCAAACAGTTAATTAATCTTGCATAACAATGTTTGAAATATGTGGTTTAGTAGAACTGGAGAAATGGAGTATTAAATGCGTATCTTTTTTGTCTTCATCAGCTTTTCACCAAGGCTCGACGGGCAGTGGACAAAGCACCGGACCGATCCGGTGCCAGAGATGTCAGGAAGTATGCAAGGGGGAGGTGGTACGAGTACAAGAGACCCACTTTCACGTCAAGTGTTTCACTTGCACTGGTAAGACATGGGAACCTGATCCATAATGACACAACACAGCAAGTGTTGGAGTAGACAAACAGCTGTAGTGATCATATGAGCAGGTGCTGTGTTTTCAAGTCCCCCAGGCCTGTGTGGTCCTGGTCATAAATGTTAGATTTATACTGTACAAGATGGTAGACTAGAAATAAGACATTCAGTTTGGTCACATCCTTACCCTCCACACACACACGCACACACACTGTGTTTTTATTCCTTGTGGGGACTTTACATTGACTTACATTCATTTTCTATAGACTTATCCTAACCTTAACCATAACCACTACGTCCCTAACCCTAACCCTGATCCTGTCCTTAACATAACCCTGACCCTAACCTTAAACCATGTTGCCACCCAAAAATTCAGTGCTTTCCTTGTGGGGACCAGAGGCTGGTCCCCACAAGGATAACTGAGTCCCCACAATGTGAGTGTGTTAACAGGTTTCAGTCCCCATAATGTGAGTAAAACAAAGGCACACACACACACACACTGACAAGTCTACCCTGTATTCCCGTACTTATCCATGTCCTACTGTTCATGCTGACTTCCACTATTAGCCCACAGAGGGGATTGGAACTGATCAGAGGTGTCTTGCAGGGGACTTAGCCTCCTGCTAAGGTAGCTTGTTATTGCGCTGCCAACTTGGAGGAGATTTTCCCTCAAATGAACACTGGTCTAATGAGACTGTGTTAAATAGCTTTGCAGTGCTTCAGATGAGCACCGGTGACCTACACTGACATAATCACACATCCTCCTAGGGCAGAAAGATTGTGGGATGTATTTTTCTTCTGTAATCTTTATAATGTTGTAAAAGGAATTTACTTATCAGAGTGTTCTCTATATATGGAATTACTAATGCTAATGGGATTTTTATGTTTAAAGTGAGAGTTTGACATTGTGGGAAAAAGTCAAACACTTGCTTTAAGAATATGGGTTGAATCAAGGTAGTTTAATGGAAATGTCTATAGAATTCTGCTGCCTTTTTTACTGCCCAAGATGCTACAGGTAAAAAAAAACAACAATACATTTTAGCTTGGTTTTTGCTATCTTATAATTGCTATTTTAAATACATGTAGATAAAATGGTTTCCTAGAGTTTTACCCTGTAAGCAATTGGGATGAATGACAATAAAATTTAGTGAGCTGATGATCTGATGAATAGGATGCTGTTTGTACTTTGGCTCAGCAAGATTAAAGGAAAATCTGCAGGGTCCTTGTCGAACACATACTGTAGCTGACATGTAAAATTGTAGACATTTGCAGAGTTAAGTGCAGGTCTAAAAGGGGCTTATGACAGTATCCGTGCGTGTGCAAACTAGAAATCAAAGAACCGAGGGATGTTATTTGTCATGCTGCTGTACAGCCTGGAGCAAGTGTGCTCAGTATTATGTTAATTGTGCCATTTCTAAAGCAAAAAACAGTCAGTCACAGATTACTTTTCAGTCATTTGCAGATAACTTTGAAAAAAAGTAACCAGATAGATTAATAAGAACTGTGTACTCAACAGTTTTCTAATCACACTCATTTTTGTATAATTAGGAGCTAGGAACATAATTTCAGATAAGTCTTTGCTCCATTTTGTTCACCAGCTTCATCTTTTATCATGGGCCCAGCTGAATTATGTCACATTTGCTTGAGATGTATTGTATGATTTGAGACTGCACATTTATGCACAAGTTAAACAGACAGTGAGAAATGCACCAGCATATGCCTGGATCATTTTTATATCTTAATAAAAATAGGCCAGAGCTGGCAGTTTTTTCTATAAATATCATAGTTATACTAATTTAGTTACTGTATGAAAATGTCAACAAACAAGCAAAAACACACTTGATTTAGTATCATAAGGCGTGAAACTTTGACCTTGCATCAAATGTCAAAATAATGTTAATGCTTTTAGAATTATTTGAACAATTTCAGTTCAGGACAAATGAGGAAAAAAGGACAGAATTTCTTATGAGTTGCAAATGTGAACAAATCTGTTTTTTACAGATTAAATCTGTCAAATCATTTTACACTGTGTTACTTATGTGTCTACACATATATTGTTCAAATGCTTTTCATGGACACTGCTTAAAATGACTTCCTGGGCAGTGTTTCCAAACTGGGTTTTTATAATAACACATGATAAATCTTGTCTTCAGCAGCTGTTGTCAAGGAGTAGAAGCTGAGCAAGTTATGAGCCACACTACACTGCTGCTCAGTACAGAGTTGTTCTACAATAGATAAACTCACTGACAGTTA